TTTTTTTGGGCGGTTTGGACCAAACCGACCGTCATATATATATATATATATATATATATATATATTTGTTTTAGTATTATTAAAAATTAAAAGCCCAATTGCCCAACTTTGATTTACACCTTGTGGGCTATTGGCCCAAACATAACCCTTACCCACCTATTAACCAGTCAACAAACATAACCCTTGACCCTCAAATCTCAATCGACCTCTATTTCCTAATCCGCTAATTGGCTAATCCTATCAAATATCAATTATCAATTTATCATTGATTCATCGAAGTATCGAACAAACTAGTCTTTCCGTTGCCGAATTGGAAAGTAGAAACGACGGAGAGTCGGAGACGAAGGCGACGAAGACGTTCATCCCGCCACTTCATCTGCCCTAGTCTTGCGGTTAATGAAAGTGACGAAACCAAAGTGGAGTAGTAGACGGAGACGAATGTTTAAACTTTGAAATCCCTCAAGAACAGATTTGTAAGTCATGTTTTGTTGCTTTAAGAAATTTCTTTTTCTATCTATGCTTTAACATATTTCTATCTAGTACATATTTTTTAAGACAATAACCTGTTTGACATAGATCCATTGCCTATTTGCCTTAATGTTTGAAAATCTTTCCTTCCTTTTTTGTGTTTATTTATTGTTTGTATATATTTGTTCTTGTATTTTGGCTATTGCTGTCTAATGGCTATCACAGTTTAAATGGGTCTACCGAACTAGTCTTTGTTAAGACAATAACCTGCTTAATAATCACAAATCCCTGCAATGCAGCTCAGCCCATTCCCTACAATGCAACTGAGCCCTCTGCTGAATAACCTTCTTAAGGATTCACATTAGGATTCACCTTAAGATTCATCTTACTACCTTAGGCCTAGTCTTCTCCAATCTTTGCAATGCAGCTAAGCCCTCTGCTGACCTACCAGACTGTGCGCTGGCTGGCCTGCCGGACTGTGCGCTTCCGGGCCTGTTAATTGTTAAATAGTATCTATGACTATGTTTTACCAAATTTCTATCTATGACTGTTAAATAGATACACAAATCTATGACTGTTAAATAGATACACAAATGTGTTAATCCATGATTATGTTTTTACCAAATTTCTATCTATGAGACTATGACTGTTAATAGATACACAAATCTGTTAATCCATCTTGGATTCTTGGTTGTATGACTGTCTCTAAATGATTGCCTTTTAACATGACTATAGATATTAGATAACTATTTGACATCTAGAAGTTGAATGTAGTACATACTTTAACCTTTAAGAAATTTCTATCTATGCTTTAAGCCTTTAACAGAGTATTAGTGATGTCTCTATGAAGTCCTATTTTCTATGTTACTATATTGAACATATTGTAACTTATGTTTATCTTCTACTTTTTTTTGTTTGTGTGTCTATTTATGTGTTTTAGATGGAAATACCCTCTCAAACTCAAAGTATAGACTCAACTGGTGCTTCTAAACCTCCTTTGCCACCTAACACCAAAGAGAGAAAAAAAAGTAGACAATATTCTGAAGTATGGGATCATTTTACGAGAAATGAGAGTAACCAAAATGACCCAAGGGCTGTGTGTAATTACTGTGGTAAAGATTATGCAAGTGATAAAGAAAAATATGGAACTAGCACCCTTTGGAACCATCTTAACCATCAATGTAAAAAGTATCCGTTTAGATTAGAGGATAAGAAGCAAAGATTCTTGTCTTTTCAAAAGAACAACATGAACGAAAGTGGTAGTCTTGTATCTGTGGGGTTTAGTCAAAAAGCATGTCGAGAAGCTTATGCAAAAATGATTGTGATTGACGAATTGCCTTTTAGCTTTGTTGAACAAGAAGGGTTCAAATCTTTTTGTAGTGTTGCATGTCCTAAATTTTGAACTTCCGTCGCGCATTACAATAGGTAGGGATATTATGAATCTCTATAATGATGAAAAGAAAAAATTGAGGTCCTTTTTCATTCAAAATTCACAAAGAGTTTCCCTCACCACGGATACTTGGACATCTATTCAGAATGTTGTATATATGGTATTAACAGCCCACTTCATAGATTCAGATTGGAAAACTCAAAAGAGGATCTTGAACTTTTGTCAAGTGTCCAACTACAAAGGAGAGACAATAAGAAAATCTAGTGAGACGTGTTTAAAAAAATGGGGTATCGAGAGGGTGTTCACTATCACTGTCGATAATGCTTCTTCTAACAATGGGGTTGTTCAACATATCAAGAAAAGATTGCAAATTTAGAAGAGTGYGGTTTGTGATGGTGAATTCTTGCATGTTAGGTGTTAAGCCCACATATTAAACTTAATTATGGATGATGGATTAAAAGAAATGGACTATTCTATAGCTGCTGTTCGTAATGCAGTTAGGTATGTTAGATCTTCCCCCTCTAGGTTAGCAAGATTTAAAAGTTGTGTAAAAAATACGTGTATAGAAGATAAAACACTTATTTGTTTGGATGTGCCTACTAGATGGAACTCCACATATTTGATGTTAGATCGTGCTGTGAAATATGAGGAGGCTTTTAAGTTATTAGAGGAAGAGGATGATTACTTCATTCAGTACTTTATTGAAGATGATAGAAATGGAAAAAAGCCGGTTGGGCCACCGACGTCTAAGGATTGGGAACAATGTGCCATGTTTTGTAAGTTTTTGAAGGTTTTTTATAATGCCACTTTAAAGTTCGGTGTTTATTTGCATGCTACTTCAAATGTTTCTTTTCACGAGTTGTCGCTAGTTCATAGGTTGATTAACAAATGGTGTTCAAGTGATAAAGAGAACTTGAAACAAATGATTTTAAGGATGTAAAAGAAATTTGATAATTATTGGGGGACCACGAACAAACAAAGTGCGATTCTTTATGTGGCTATTATACTTGATCCGAGATACAAATTAAAATTCGTTACATTTTGCTTGAGACAACTTTATAATGAGGATGAAATTACCATTATCACGGATTCCATTAAAAATTGTCTTTCAAGGCTAGTGGTTCATTATACTAGTGAGCTTAAAGTAGAGCATCAAGAAGATAGCGTTAATCAAACACAAGATCATGTGCCAATAGTAGACTCCGTTGATGAAGATTTGAATCTGAGTTTGACAAAGAATGTGATGAAGATGACTCTTTGAACATGCAAAATGAACTTGAAAGGTACTTAGGTGAACGCAATGAAGATAGGAAAAATAAGAACTTCAATATTTTAGAATGGTGGAAAGTGGCATCATCAAAGTATCCTATTTTGTCCGCATTGGCTCGAGATGTTCTTGTTGTCCAAGTATCAACAGTGGCTTCAAAGTCTGCTTTTAGCACCGGAGGGAGAGTTCTTGATTGTTTTCGGAGTTCATTAAGTTCTTCAATGGTTGAAACTTTGATTTGTTGTCAAACTTGGTTGAGATCCACAAATTTTCCATTAGATTTGGCTTCTATTTTGGAAGAGATGGATATTTACCAAAATATGGAACCGGGTAATCAATTTAAATTAATTTCACATTACTTCAATTTTAGATTACGTTATTTTCATTTATGTTGTTTATCTAATTTATTTTTGAATTTTGTAGATAAATCCATCGAAGCACCATCTGAAGGCTGAAGTTGGGAGTCTTGATAATGATTAGAAAGTTGTTGAATCGCTATAACGTAAGCTTCAATTAGTTCCCTACTTCTTTCACACATTTCAGACAATCTTTTATCCTTTTAATTTATATGATGTCATTTTTTCTACAGAAGAGTCATTCCTGTTTGATAAAGGATTGAATCTTTATGGATTTTGAAGAACTGAAGATGTGGACTTTGTTTGCACTTTACATATTACTGTTTAAACTCTTTTTAAACAATAGACACTAAGATTTGGCTTCTATTTTGACTTTGTTTTCTGGTATATTTTACATATTTATTTGTTTGGACTTTGGACTTTGGATTGTTTGAAGAGGGTTTAAACTTTAATGGCTGCTTTGTGGTATACAACAATAGTTTATATAGCCATGGTGGCATGGTTCATGGATTGGATATTGGATTTTAGTATGATAGAGTCATAGAGCTTTGAAATTTGAATTAACATGCTTCCAAACAAGTGCTATAGACATCACATGGGAGATGATTACTATCTATTATTCAAATTTATAATAGTACAGATGACACTAGGTTTTCTGGTTTTAATGTTTAAAGCCCATTAAAGGCTCAAACCGCCTAAACCGGTCAGACCAGACCGCCTTTTCGTTGTCTGGTTTAACCAGTCTGGGCACTTGATTTCAAACCGCTCGGTTTGAAAATTTCATAAACCGCCATTACGGTTTGATTTGTGGTTTGATGGCTTAAACCACCCAAACCGGACCTCGAACACCCCTAGAAAGAACCTACAGTTATGATTTATTTACCCAAATGTCCAAATGCCCAAATATAAGCATTTTACTTGATTTATAAACCAAATATATCAAATATGCGAAACTCATCAAATAACCCACACATTTGATAAATAGCAATTAAAACATGTAAATACTTCAAAATTGACATTTGTGGCATGTACAAAGTTTTCACAAAACAACTTGAACTTACCTTGCTAGGCTAGGTTAAACCTAGTTTCCAAACCCATCTCTAGCTTCCAAGACGATGAACACTTGAGATCCACAAGCAAACATCCCTAAGAAATCTTCTCAAAGCCATAAACTAAGCTAAAAAATACCAAACACTATACCAATACTTCAATTCCACCAAAACCCCAACTTAGATCTCAAAAATACTAAAAATGCTTACCTCTTCCCAATCTTTAGATCAACAAACAAGATTCTTCAATCTCTAAGCCTTTCCTACAATTTGCCCCAAAAAGCACATAAAAATCAGCTCAAGGTTGCCAAATCGTCCACAGTGAAGAGAGATATAGAGAAGAACGGAAATGGGGAAGAAAACCCAAAAAAAATCGGTTTCATCTGGGTGCGCAGGGCCACCTTTGGGGGGAGTTAGGTCGCACCAAAAGTCACCCGGCCCCTTTGTAGGTCACTCGGCCCCTTTTCAGGTCACTCGATCGGCCGCCCGACCGTTCTTCGACCATTTAACGACCGTTTTGTAGGGCGTTCTCCTAGCCGTTTTGATAAAATTTTGGGTGTTACAAGTCTCGATGGGTTCTCGATTCGTCTTGATAAGCTAAAAGTGGCAGTCTATGGTTTTACACACAAACAATTAATAAATCAATCAATAGATTCTCAATGAAAAATGAAGGTGGTAGGTTATAGTTTAACACGCATAAACACATACCAAGTTAATGAATGGATTCTCGATAGATTCTCGCTTAGTCTTAATAGGTCCTCGCTCAGTCTTGATGGGTTCTCGATCAGTCTCGATAGGTGTTGAGTTACTGTGATGAAGAACATGGTGCCTTACAACATTGAAGAAAGTGTTGAAGAAGGTGATGTCGAGTTAAAGACTTACGGTGTCGAGTTGTACACACTTGAACGTATATAAATATTCATAATGAATATAACACATATAAAACATCTCGTTTTTTGACATATTTTGTTTGATTAAAATATTAGTAATTTTTATGATATTTTGTTTTAAACTTAAAGGGGATAAAAAATTTTAATTAAAAAAAATGAAAAGTCAAAAAAGGTAGGATGTAAGTTTAAATTAACTTTTTTCCTTTCCTTATTTAGTAAGTAATTAAACGTGGGTAGCCAAATAAACATAAAGTATGAAGTGTATACCATAAAGCATATTTTACTGATGCATATAGAACAACTATCTTATCCGACACTTTAATATAAATGTTCTAAAAAACGCGCCTTGGCGTCGAGGCGTAACCTTGCCGCCACGTTAACCCCCTTCGCGTGGATATAAAGCGTGGAGCTCGCCATGGCCCGTTGTGGCGTTATAAGGCGTGGGAAGAAATTTGCAATTTTCAAAACTTGAATAAGAGTAAATGTAAATATTACTTTATAGTTTATACGTGTCAAATACTTAATCAATAAAATTGGGAAAAAGGAAAAACCCTAAATTACTTCTCAGCATACGAAAAATATTGTTCGATTACTTTTATTTGTTGTTCTTTGATTACTAAACATGTTCTGTAACAGTGACTTCCTTTGTATATTTGATATCGTTTTTGTAAAATTTGTACATTTGATATCAAATTATGAATTCATGGTTCTTCTTTTGTTTATCTTTTTATATGAATTTAAATTGTCAATAACTTAATCATTATGGTTCAAGACACTGATATAAATACGCACATATATATACATATACTAGTTATGTACCCATGCGCGTTGTTGTACGACACATATCGATTTTGAAGCTGAGAACTCAAAATGGCAATCCTAATTCATGTTTTTTTAATTTTTCCCAGTCTCGATAGTATTGTAAAGGTTTTCTATGGTATACAAGTTCAAGGTTGATACATTTGATTGTTGAACTGGAATTGCCATACATGGGGACTTTCAATGCCATAAAATTTGTTATTATTAGATTTTTAAAACCAACACAAGTATTAGTGGTTTTTTTGCAACTTGTAATTTACAAAAGAAAATCAGAAATTTATATTGAACAAACATGAAAATAAAATCATCTGTAAGAAATCCAACAAAATATTGTTCAAAACAGCCAAATATAGACATGTCTTACAAGAAATATTACGTGATGGTTATATATGTGTGTATATATATATATATATATATATATATATATGTATGTATATAATGCATATCAGATACAAACCAAGCCATTACTACAAATAATCCTTGGGAAGTGTAATCTGGTAATTTGGTTTTTGTTAGATTTATTTGGATAATACCTTTAATTAATCACCCCCAAATTTTGTAAAAGGAAGAGCAAATTTCAAATCAACTTCCACTACTAACCCCATAAAAGATAAAAATAAAATAAAATAAAATAAATATGGTTAAGTTCAATTTGGTAAGGCTAAGATAGTACTTCAGTTAATAGAATCGTAAGCCTTATCATGATCAAGCAAAGTGCCAGGAAGGCCACGTATGATTATCACTACATAATCAAGACAAGATGCTTGGTGTGGTTCTAGAATATGTAACATATTTGGCTTCTTTGAAACTACATGTCACAATGGATTGCCGATATGAAATTCCTATTAAGGAGTGAATGCCACTATGTAATTCTTGGTTATTACTTATCAGTAAAAGGAAGGATGTTGGTGGTAGAATAGAGATTGGCAGAAAGGAAGTTACCGAAAAGAAACATAAGTGAAGAACTCGATAACTTCCTTCCAATATATTATGTTCAAAGCCAAACTTATAAATAAAATTCAGACAACCATTTCGGCTTTAACCAAAAAGAACAAGTAACTTGGAGGTTGACCCCTTGCATTATATCTCCATTCATTAGCCAACCTATGGCTAATGACTGAGTGAATAACAGTTATCGCCAACCTCCACCATAAAAAACAGTTTATGGATGTGACATAGCCAAATAAATGCTTAGAATCAACTGATATTTATTGACCATGCAACAAAGGCAGGTGATTGTTATAACTTGAGAGAACACCCTGAATTCCATTCATGAAATTGGATAAGCCAAGAATCTGCATGACTAAAGACAAGTAACTCATAACTTCTTCTGCAATGGTGAACATATAGCCTTAGATATGTCAAATAACAACTAAAATAGGCTTACAAAATCCCTTCTGCTAAGTATAGCAAATTCGATCAGATTTTTTGGGGTTATACTTGTTGCATATCTAGTTGTACCATAAGAAATTTTCAACATTGCCATGGCGAGATTGTCGATATAGTTCTCAGGGATCTCTATTGATATGATTATTTCAGCATATTAAGCCATCGAATGCTTTCAGAACTTGGTTAACACTCATTTCAATATTACTTCCATTTTCTTGATTCTTTTAACATCATTTCTGGTGGAACCTTTATTGTAGGTAGCCACCAGTTGTCGCTTCTATGTCTGAGTACCAAATCAACAAGCAAATCAAGATTAATTCATGAAAATAGAGAATGTAGATGAAGAAGATGAAGAACTGGCCAGTTTCTATTATTGGAAAGTAAAAACTACAAACTCTCTATCTCTCACTAATCGACTCTTATTGAAATGTTTTGAATGATCAACTAATAATCTAAGCTCCATGTCACCTATTTATAGGTGACAATTACAAGTAAAGCTCATAGCCTTTAACCCCAATTACAAGATAATACAATACAAGGGTAATTGACTTTATAAAACTTCTTAAACTTAGGATTATTTTGGTCCTAACAATCTCCCCCAAAGTTTTATAAAGAACGCATCTCTTGAAACTTCAAGTCTTCTCCCCCCTGCTTTCTTTGGGAAAACTTTGGTGTGCCCGACATTGATAAAATCTTCAAGCTCCCCCCTGAAGATAGCTCTTACTCTTTAAATTTCAACTTTAAGATAAGATCCAATGTGAGTTAAGCACCATCATATGCACAAAGTACAACTAAATCACAAATGACTTAACACAACCTTGAACCACAAAATCATCGCCAATCCATTATCTATAGATTCATCTAACTATGGGATAGATAAATGTGCAAGGCTCGTGACATTTCAGTGCATACAGTCTAATGACAAAGAATCTTTCAATGAACCATGAGTTGAATAGGCATTCAGCTTAAGAACTTGATCTTGGTTAACTCATAATGGGGTAATAATATTTGCTTGAAGTACCAAAGCAAACACCTTTGACATTATGGAACTGCAGAGAAGAATCAACAATAAGCACATAGCTTCTAGAACAGCAAGTCAAACCAGATAGATAAGTCGATTTCCTTTAGCCTTTCAGAAAACTGAATAATTAGAATCAGATCCAAAATTCCCAGCCAGAAGAATGATTATGAGCACTCAAAACCCTTACATCACAACCATAGCAACCATAGCATCAGAATAATGATTGTGGACAATCAAACCTCTAATTGATAAGGTTAGAAGAATGACTGAGAACACTCAAAGAGCTGATAATTTACAGAACCTTCAAAACACCAATTGCAAACCTTCAAGACCTCTGATGGATCAGGTCAAAAGAAATAAGTGAAAGCACTCAATGGTCTAGCCTCTTATAGAAAACTCTAGAGAAATGATTGCAAATACTCAAACTCTAGCTAGTCCATTCAAATATTGAAACAAATCAAAAAATTTTGAAATCCTTTAAAATCCGGCTTAAACTTTAATCTCAATTGGTTGACCAAAAAGTCAAACTTTGACTTTTAAAGTCAATATTGACCAAAATTGTTGTATGATGCTCCTAAGGGGAAAAATGATAAGCATCACCTTAATCATTAAGATCATGGTAAATAGGGCAAAGATATCCATTAAGCACACTAGATAAGCACATAGAGTCAAAATGAACAAGTACTCATTTGATGAGCGATGAGCATAGGTAAGACAGCTCATCGGCCATGCCTTAGGCGGAGAGGCACATAACCATCCTTATCGCTTACGCCTTGAGCGATGAGCAATGTCATCGCTCATCTCTTGGGGGATGAACAAGTATATCGTTCATTACTTGAGTGATTTCATCAACTTCCAAGATTATCTTTCAACTTCATCGCACAAATATATGGGGTCATCGCTTGAAGCCTTGAGCGATGAGAAGGCTCTCCGGACAACACTTTATCGCACAAAGATAACAAGGCTGTGAGAAGGTCATTGCTCACCACTTCATCGCTTGGTGTGTTGAGCGATGAGAGCTCTTATTGCTCATCACATTGAGCAAATACTAACTTTTAAGCGCATGACTTGGACGTTGAACATGGTCTCCGGACAAGCTTTTGAGCGATAAGCATACTTTATCGCTCAAAGCTAGTAAAAATTTCATCGAAGTCCTTAGGTCATCACTCAAACCAAGTTACCAAAAATCATATTATGTCCGATGAGGCGTTTATCACTCAATACTTCATATCTTCATTGGGCGATGAGCACCACTTCATCGCTCAATGAACATCTTCAACAAGCGATGAGGAAAGACTTTTACCAGATTAAGCATAGTTTGACTATAAATCATCAAAAACACCAAAATTAAGCATTTAACATCAAAATTGATAATCCAAAAACATTCGAATTCACCTAAATGTTAATCCTTTAGCATTAATATGATTGAAAACAGTAAGAACAAGATGAATTAAAATCTGTTAAGCGCAACAATGTCGAACAGGAAGTTGAATAAGGATATAAGTACTGTTCCATTACATAAACATAATCAAAGCTTGAATTTGCTGATGAATCAAATGATCGTATCAAAAAAATTGATTCGATTCTGCTCTGATACCACATGTGAGTCCCAAATCAACAAGTAAATCAAGATTAATTCATGAAATTAGAGAATGTACATGAAGAAGATGAAGAACCGACTATTTTTTTTATTGGAAAGTAAAAACTACAAACTCTCTATCTTTCACTAGTCGACTCTCATTGAAATGTTTTGAATGATCAACTACTAATCTAAGCCCCATGTCACCTATTTATAGGTGACAATTACAAGTAAAGCTCATAGCCCTTAACCCCAATTACAAGATAATACAATAATACAAGGGTAATTGACTTTATAAAACTTTCTAAAACTTAGGACTATTTTAGTCCTAACACTATGGATACCCTTCTTGGGTACATCTTCTTCTTTAGACACATCCATAGAAATCTTTGATGATTTTTGTCTCAGATCTTATAGTTTATGCCCCACAGTGCATACAAACATAATCAAATTATTATAGCAAAAAATTGCCTTTTAAACATGTCTCAGTTGGATTTCCTTATAACATCTCAAGGATGATTTTTCCTAGTGCATAGAAGAATGATATGCTACAAGAAATTCAATAAACTGAAGAAGTTTCACATCAACTTGCTTTCTTGGTTATTTTGAGCTTCCAAGTACCTTAAGTAGGTTGATCATTTACCTTTCATGTGCATAAT